GGGTGTGTGTGTGGGGGGTTACTTAACTCAGTAGCAGTCTCCGTGGTGTAGTGGTAAGACACTCGCCAGGCGTTCCGCGAGCGCTATGTCATGGGTTCGTATCCTGGCCGGGGAGGATTTACTGGGCGCAATTCCTTAACTGTAGCCTCTGTTTAACGCAACAGTAAAATGTGTACTTGGATGAAAAAACGATTCTTCGCGGCGGGGATCGTATTCCAGGGACCTGCCCGAAACGCTACGCGTACTAGTGGCTGTACAAGAATGTAACAACTCTTGTATATATTTCAAAAAAAAAAAAAAACTATACTGAAGGACGTGTCGGCGGCCATCTTGCCCCGCTCTCCTGGGGCCAGATTCACGAAAACACTTACGCAAGCACTTACGAACCTGGAGCCAGATTCACGAAGCAGTTACGCAAGCACTTACGAACGTGTACATCTTTCCTCAATCTTTGACGGCTTTGGTTACATTTATTAAACAGTTTACAAGCATGAAAACTTGCCAATCAACTGTTGTTATTGTTATAAACAGCCTCCTGGTGCTTCGGAGCTCATTAACTGTTTAATAATTGTAAACAAAGCCGCCAAAGATTGAGAAAAGATGTACAGGTTCGTAAGTGCTTGCGTAACTGCTTCGTGAATCTGGCTCCAGGTTCGTAAGTGCTTGCGTGAATCTGGCCCCTTGTCCCCCCTCCCCACCCGCGGTTTTCCCCAACAATGGGCAAGGCAGAGAACCATATGGGCAGCCTCATCTCCCATCATGACCGTGCCCAACCGGTTGGACAGGTCAGTGGCTCAACCACTGACCACAACCACGACGTTGTGGTCACCAACGTACCAAATGAAGCGTGTTATGAATCGCAGCAGCTCACACAAATCCACGTTTTCTATACATCGGTTGGTCAGGTTAGGTCGGTTGCTGGGGTTCGTAAGTTTCTGGCTAGGTTAGGACGGTGGATTCTGTACGTTGTGGGAAATGAAGAGTACTGGCTGCGGTAGCCTTCATCACCAGCGAGCTGTTGTGTACTCTCGGGAGTACAGCACGAGTTACAGCCCCGCTCCTGTGCCAGGTAAGTCCACTACGGGCTCACCATAGCCTGTGCTACTTGCTCCGCTCCTGTGCCAGGTAAGTCCACTACGGGCTCACCATAGTCTGTGCTACTTGCTCCGCTTCTGTGCCAGGTAAGTCCACTACGGGCTCACCATAGCCCGTGCTACTTGCCCCGCTTCTGTGCCAGGTAAGTCCACTACGGGCTCACCATAGCCCGTGCTACTTGCAACTCTTGGTTCCCAATAGCTGAATCTTAAACAAAAACAACATCGGGAGTAGAGTCCGTGTTGACCTATCTTGGGAGCCTTACGGGCTACTCATGCCCGTGCCACCTCTTGGCTGGCTTAATCTTCATCAATCAACCAATCACCGTCTTGGGAGCGTAGCTACGAGCGTAACAAGACGGGTGGTAGGACAACGGCCTCTTACTTTTGAGGCCCGAGTTCGAATCTCCGATGATCAAAGTGAATAACATGCAAACCAGACCATTACGTATGTCAGAGACTGGCTCCTGGAGAAAGAGATGTTCTCTAAGGGACTGCAGCTCTTGGGCTGGGATTCATCACACTCTTAAATATCACTTACGACACCTATACATCTTCACTCTGTAATGGTGTCTTAATTTGCATGCACTAAACAGGTTATGAGCTGCGCTACGAGGTTGTTAACAACACTAACAACCTCAGCCCGAGAACGACCTTACATCATTCCCAGGCTCGTAAACTGTTTACCAAACACAGGTAAAGCCGCAGTGATTGAGAAAAGGTGTACTGGTTTAAGTGGATACTTAAATCTTTGATGAATTCTAACCGCGGTAGAGGCCACTACAGCTCCACCTGACAAGTGAATTGGAAATCAAAGTTGTGAGTAGACATGCGGGTGGATTACACTATCATAATAAACAAATCCACAAGGGCCG